AACAACCAACCAACCAATCAATCAATCATATCCCCATGTGCGCACATCTTTTCTGGGCACGTCCCGCAGTGAGTGCTCGAGTGGGAGCGTATTAGCCTGTGGCGACTGAGCGTTCTCTAGCGGCTACCCTTTGGGGTGCCCAGGTGACGCGTCTGCCACACCTCGATGATCATAGGATTCCAAAATAAAAATGGTCCATGGGCTCAACCCTCTAAGCCGCAATCCTCACTCCTGAGGAATGTGCCCTGTGGGGCTTCCCGCATGCCCCCTGGGACTTTCCGCGTGCCCCCTGGGCTCCAGGAAGTGGTGGCGCATATTTTTTTCGGGCCGAAGGAGGTCCCGAGACGGGCCAAGAGGGCCCCAAGCGGCCGCAAGACTGCCCAAGAGTGCTCCGGGACGGCCAAATATTGCTCCAAGACGCCCAAGATGGCTTCAAGATGGCCCAAGAGGCCTCCAAGACGCCCCGAGAGGCCTCCAAGAGGCCTCCCGAGAGGGCCTCAAGAGGCAACAACCATTGATTTTCCTGGGGGTATGTGAAGGATTTGGGAGTTCTCGCCTTTTCGGCTTTCTGACGCTCCAAGACGGCCCACGAGGTCCTCAAGACCACCAGAAAACGGCCCAAGAGGCCTCCAAGAGGGCCCCAAGACTGCCTAAGAGCGCCCCCAGACGGCCCAACAGGTGCCCAAGACGGCCCAAGAGGGCCTCCAAACGGCCCCCAAAGCGGCCCAAGAGCGGGAACACAAACCGAAAATCCAAGCCTTCCGCCCAAGAGGTCCACAGGAGGCCCGAAGAGGCGCCCAGGAGGCCCCAAGAGGCCCCAGAGAGACCCCAAGAGGCCCCCAAGAGGCCCCAACGATGCACCAAGAGGCCCCCCAACGGCCCCCAAGGGGCCTCCACATTGCCTCCAAGAGGCTCCCGAGAGGCCTCCCACGAGATCCCAACGAGCATCCAATAGGCTTCATACCCACAGGCCAGGCACGGTGGCGGGATAGGCGAAGGCCATTTGATAAGAAGCAGCACCAACTACACGTCGCAGGTAAGGCAGATATACCACCAATGGAGGGCGCGATCGAAGACGATGAGGGCGGGTATCGAGGGTGTGGGATATACATGTTGGATGACACGCAAGCAGATCAGAGCGAACAACCTTCAGATGTTTCTTGTTCTCGTCGTCCTGTCCGCGGCCCGCCCCGCTCGCCCCGCGACCCGCCCCGCGACCCGCCCCGCGACCCGTCCCGCGACCCGCCCCGCGACCCGCCCGCGACCCACCACCCGCGGCCCACCACCCGCGGCCCACCCCCTCACTCATTGTCCGCAGACGCGGGGCGCACCAGGTGCGTCAGGGCCCCGTAGACCCGAACACGCCAGACCCGGACACCCAACATCCCTCGAAACCAATTTTTCCAAACGGCGGCACGAACAAAATACTGCACTAACTACCTACCAGACCACCCCAACCCAACCCGAAGACCCGAATTTCGGGTTGGGGGGGGTAAGGGTTCCACACGTGTTTTTGTCGATGTTTCCCGACCCCCCCCCCACTGGAAATCGAGGGTAAATCTGAGCCTTCGGGTTGGGTTGGGGTGGTTTGGCGGGTGGTGATGCACCGCAGCATTTCCAGAATAAGCCCGGACACAGGCCCCAAAAGCCTGCAAGACACCCCTTTAAACCCGGTCACAGACCCGAATCCTGCAGTGCGGCAGACAAAGCGTGCGCGGGCGCGGAAAAACGTGACTTTTTGCAGGAAAGGATGTCGGTTCCTTGGTTTTCCGTGCCCTGGTTTATCCGTGCCCTGGTCCCCTTGGGCCTGAGTGCGCCTCCTCTGAGGCCGGGGCTCCTTCTCCTCCTCCTTCTCCTCTGAGGCCGGGGCTCCTTCCTCTGAGTGGTCTCCTTCTCCTTCTCCTTCTCCTCCTCCTCCTCCTCCTCCTCCTCCTCCTCCTCCTGATCATCATCGTCATCATCATCATCATCATCATCATCATCAGCAGCAGCATCAGCGTCATCATCAGCATCAGCATCAACATCATTGGTTTTCCGGGGCCTGAGTGCGCGCTCCTCTGGGGTCGCCGGAGGCGGCGCCCTGCACCGCACCAGCGGAACGGCTGAGGGAGCGTACGCGGACAATCCCGGCGGCGACCACGACGACGACGACGACGACGACGACGACGACGACGACGACGACGACGACGACGACGACGACGACGACGACGACGACGACGACGACGACGACGAGTAACGACGGAAGAGCACGATGACGAGGAGGATCACAAGATGCCCGCGTACGCCGAACCCTGCGGCGCAAGATGCCCACCCCGGAGCCACACGCAAACGTTGGAGGATGCGGGAAGCACGGGGGCTCGAGTGGACAACACTAACTAGTCGAAGCTTCCAATCACCACCCATACCGAGTTCAACGTTGATGTGGGGGGGCGGGAGGGGGGGTCGGTATTCCTCCAAGTCTGCACTGGGTTCGATCTATTGTCCATGTGTGACTACCTACCAGACCACCCCAACCCAACCCGAAGACCCGAATTTCGGGTTGGGGGGGGGTAAGGGTTCCACATGTGTTTTTCGATGTTTCCCGAGCCCCCCCCACTGGAAATCGAGGGTAAATCTGAGCCTTCGGGTTGGGTTGGGGTGGTTTGGTGGGTGGTGAATGTGCTGGAGCTCGGGCGGCGGGCAGGCGAGACCTGGGCGTCGAACGAGCGCCGAGACCGAGTGTGCGTGGGGGGGCTGTGCCGCCGACGGCCAGCCGCCGCCGAGGACGCTCCACAGCCCCTCCTTCGCTGCCTCCTCTCCCGCTGCTCTCGGCCGCCTTGCCTCGGGGGCTGCTAGAAAGTATGAAGGGGCCCTGGGACACACAAATAAATACACACAAATAAAAGGATTCCCCATATTTTCTCATATTTTCTGGGTTTCTGTCTTCCCCCCCAATCCCCATATTTTCCTATATATTCCTGGGAGTGGACGATTAATTGTGTCTGTGTGTTTTTCCCCCTCCTGAAAGTAGGAGGACAACAATGGCATAAACATGAACTGTGGGCGCTCCGCGGGGATTTCTTGGATCTGCGCTGGCCCCCCTCCCTGGCGCGCGGAGCGCGCCAGGGGCGGCGCCGGAGGCGCCGCCGGGGGGAAGATATCCGCGCGGAGCGCCAGCAGTTTATGTTTATGACGTTTTTCTTCTGCGATAAGGGTGCCCTTTGCCCACGGTGCCTCCAGCTTCTCGCTCCACTTTGGAGGCCCTAGGGGGCCCTCTGGAGGCCGTGGGGGGGGGCCTCCTGGGAAATCCCGGGCGCACCTTGCGCCGACGTCTGGCAACACCCGACTCCCTCTTCCTCCCCGCGCGTCCTCGCCTTACCATCTCGGCGGAGTCGGCTCCCGAGCCAACACTAGAGGCCTCCTAGATGGGGTCGGAGTAGATGGGGTCGGAGGACCGCGCCGCATCGCCAACACATCAACGATACATCGGCGATGCATCGGCGATGCATCGGCGATGCACCGGCGATGAGGCGTCGACGTCGGCGATGTATCGGCGACGTGCGACGTCGGCGTGGAGAAAATCGGGCTCCGCATCGAGCCGCATCGTCGATGCATCGGCGCTGCGACGCGATTCTCCGACCCCACCTGCTCCGACCTCACCTCGGAGGCCTAGAGACACGCCGCCCTCACGAGGCCAGCCTCCCACGAGAGGCACGGACGGTCTCGCTGGGACGACCCCCCGGCGCCCGCGCACGAGGGGAATCTCGAGGGCCACGGAGGCGGATGGGGGGGGCGCCCGGTGCAGCCCTCCTGGGGCCAGGACGCCCGCAGAAGCTCGGGGGCGGCCAAGAGGGGGGCGGCGTCCACATGGGGGGGGGGGGGGGGGGGGGGGCGCAAATCATGGCCGGCTGCATGTGCGCGGCCCCGAGGGGGAGGGGAGGGCCAGGAGCGCAACGACATAAGACGAGGCGCCAGGAAGTCTGCGGAGATACCCTGGCCCGCGCCATATGATGCCCCCCCCCTGGTCGTCACCCCCCTCTTTAGGGGGCAAACAAACCTACCTCGCTTTTGACCACCCTCGCTTCCAAGAGATACCAAGCGATGCCAAACTACGGCATGTACTGGTCAGGCCGCTTGACGAGGAGGCGTATGGTATGACTTGGTTTTGCCTGGAAGCGAAAGCGGGGTAGGTAATTCACGCTCTGACTCTTGGCCGCCCCCGAGAAGCGAGGAGGCCGGGGGGCAGGGGACGGTGCGTGCCCCCCCGGCAGCCCCTGCCCCTGGGGCTTTCGGGGCATGGCCGAGCACCCGCACGAGGTCGGCGGCGGGCGGGAGGAGGACAAGGAAGATGAAAGGGGGAAGAGGACGAGGAGGAGGCGGAGGAGGAGGAGGAGGAGGAAGAGAAGGAGGAGGAGGCACGAGGAGGCAGATAAGAGGAGGAGGAGGAGGAGGGGGGGGAAGTCGAGCAGGAGAGGGCCTCCTCGGAGGGTTCGGGCGTCCCCGGGCCTTCCGAGGAGCTCTCCGAGCCTTCCCCGGAGGCGGAGGGAGCCTTCTCAGCAGGCGCGAGGGCTTCTGAGAAGTCCCGCCGCCTTCTTGAGGAGGCCCTCTCCTTCTCCTTGCCCCCCTCGCCCGCCGCCGACTGGGGCATCTGGATCCAAATCCTCCCCGTGGACTCGTCCCACCGCGGCCAGTGGCACCGCTCGTGGACTAGCTCCAGGGCGGCAAGGCCATCCCAGTTACCTCAAGGATGTGGCCCGTTGTCGTCCAACTACTGGTTTCTGGTGGAACGGACACTCCCGTAAGCTGCCCAAAAACATCCCAGTATTTCGCCGATGACCGTTTCATCCCTACAGCCTATAGCGAGCTCGGTAATCCTCCTCCTCCTCCTCCTCCCCTCGCTCCTCCACGTGGTGGTGGGGAGGAGAGAGAGAGAGAGAGAGAGAGAAACAGAGAAAAAACAGAGAGAGGAAACAAGAAAAGAGAAAGAGAATGAGAAAAAGGCAGCATGCCGAGGGCGTGGCTTCTGTACGCCATCTCGCCCTTCTTCGCGTCCCACACCCAGAGCTGCTCATCCTCGTGGCGACAGCGGGGCTCCTGCTCCTCCTCCTCCTCCTCCTCCTCATCCCTCCTTCTCATCCTCCTCCTGATCATTATCCTTCCTCGTTCCTCTGGATCATCCCTTCTCCCCCTCCTCCTCCTCCTCCTCCTCCTCCTCCTCCTCCTCACCTTACCCTTATCCTCCCCTTCCTGATCCCCATCATCGCCACCACTAGAGTCAACACCACCATTACGATCGAAGACATGGTAGCCGTATATGGTGAAGCTTAGATCATAAGAATCATTGCAAGACTAAAGGACGGTCCCAGCTGAAAAGAGGCCCCGCGATGGGGGCGGGAAGCAGCTCGTAGTGTAATCCCAACTCGCTCGCAAACGCAGCCCGTCGACACGCTCCCCGTCGACATGCCAGTCGGCGCGCGAGTCGGCGGCCTGGTGCCATCCTTGCCGCGCCCCGCGTGCCGGCAGCTGCTACGGGAGAGAGGAACTGGGAGTGACCTGCTCGGTGCGATGCAGGCGAGTCTGTGGGAAAAAAACATAGTCGGTGTGTGTGTGTGTTTTCTGTTCGGGTGTTTATTTTTTTTTTCTTGTGTGTGTGTGTGTTTTGTGTGTTTTGTGTGTGTGTGTTGTTTCCCACAGTGTGTGTGTTTTTCCCCACAGTGTTTGTGTGTGTGTATGTGGGGAGGGAGTGGGAGGGAGGGGAGGGAGGGAGGCGAGGGAGGGGAGGCCGGGGAGGGAGGGAGGGAGGGGAGGGAGGGCCCTCCCTCCCTCCCTCCCTCCCACTCCCTCCCCTCCCTCCTCCCCTCCCTCCCCACAGTGTGTGTGTTTGTTGTTTCCCACAGTGTTTTTTTTCCCACGGGAGAAGAAGAGGAGAGAGGACGTGAGGCGCACGGCTTCGGCCCGCCCTGCGCACCCGCAGGTGCCGCGGGCGGAGAGACGGGGAGTGGGGGAGGGGAGGAGAGATGCACAGGAGGGAGGAGGGGGGAGGAGGAGGAGGAGGAGGAGGAGGAGGAGGAGGAGGAGGAGGAGAAGGAGGAGGAGGAGGAGGAGAGGAGGAGGAGGAGGGGAGGAGGAGGAGAGGAGGAGGAAGGAGGAGGAGGAGGAGGGGAGGAGGAGGAGGAGGAGGAGGAGGAGGAGGAGGGGGTGGAGGGTGGAGGAGGACAACTCTTTGCCCTCCTGTTCTCCATGCGCTGCGTGCGGATGCACGTGTTTGTCTGTTGGCCGCATTGCCTGGGTTGGACTTGTTTCCCGGTGGACGCCATCACGCCGCGCATTGAACTGGGCTCATCGTCGGGGCCAGTTGGCACCTCCGAGCTCCACGACCAGGGAGGCGGCGGAGGAGGGCACGATAAAACCATGGAGCTCTCAAGCTGTGATTTTGACCAGCGGTTGCCTGGCTCAAGCACATCTCGAAACACGTCTAGATCCCAGCCTCGGCGGCTACGGAGCGCGCAGCACATACATGCCTGCAGATGAGGCAAGGACACAGGGCACGACCGTGAGCAGCCGAACGATGAGGAGTCGCAATGCCGATGGGTTTGGGAGCTCGAGCGATAAATTCCTCGGACCGCTCTCGGCGCTTCTGCTCTGGACGGTAGGCTTGTGAGGCCGTGCTTCCTGGCGGTCGAGTGCAGGCCTGCGCCGCTGCTAGAAACGTGCGAAGATTAGCTCCGGTGCATCGGCGAAGGCCACCTCCGAGTCAAGCACCAGCCTGCCACATGCACCGACTGGATCGTGACGACCCATGGGCTCCTCGACTGCTCCCCTGAGGCTCCGCTGCCACGTGGCGACAACCAGCACAATCTTCGCCCCGCTCCGTGCCTGCCGACAAAGTCACTTTGCGCGTTCGCCGAGGCGGGGGTGCCCTGGAAGACGGGGGGTGAGCGCACCACGTGCGCGGACTTTTCTGTGTGGGGGGTGCCGGGGGACGTGTTGGAAAGAGGACGGGAAGAGGAAGCCCCGCGCGGACGCAGCCGTGCGACAGCGTGTTCGCGGGAGCGCGCCCCGGAATCCAGACCGCGAGGGCGTGGGCGCGGATGCGTTCGCCGCTCGTGGGGGGGGGGGCCCCCCCCCCCCCCCCCCCCTTCGGAGCTCCCCTCCGGGTGTCCTCTCCAGGGCCCCTCCGTGTGCTTAGCCGCTTTGGCTTCGGTGCCCCGTCCCATGGCGGGCGCTGTGCGGTGGACTCCCGCCCTCCTGGTGCCGACTAAAGTGTCCCTTTCCTTCACCTACCCTCCAGCCTAGTGAGACAGGGGGGGGGCGCACCAATAGAGGACCCCCGCCCCCTGGCTCCTCGCGCTGGTGGTGGTGGTGGTGGTGGTGGTGGTGGTGGTGGTCGTCGTCGTCGTCGTCGTCGTTGTGAGTCGTCGTCGTCGTGAGTCGTGCCGCCTGCTCGTCTGGATCCCCTGTGGACTGGGCCCGTACCCTTGGGGATCGCGTGGGTCCAGCGGTGGACTCGGGTGAAGGGGGTCCTCCTCCTCCTCCTCCTCCTCCTCCTCCTCCTCCTCCTCCTCCTCGGCGTCAACCTGCGCTTAAGCAGGGCCCTGCACCCGAGGCATGAACGCGGGAGGGTGCGGCCACGCCGTCTCTTCGTGTCCCACGCTCTCGCACCCGATGCGTTTTGCCTCGATCCCCTGGTCCTTCTCAAGAACTGCCGTGCAATACGAAACCAGGACTGGGACAACATCTGACCCGGACCGGTCGGGGGATCTCCAAGGTGCGGCGGTTCTGGAAGATGCTAGGGCTCCCAACTTCGCGCTTCGCGCTCCGCGAAGCGCGAAGCGCGAATAACTTCGCGCTCTCGCGCCGCCCCCCCAAAGGGAGAAAAGGAGGACGAGGAGGAGGGGGAGGAGAAACGAGGACCGCGAAGCGCGAATAACTTCGCGCCCTCGTGGGAGCCCTTGAAGATGTGTCGGGCGCCGCGGCCGTTCCGGAGCGTTCCAGCTGCGCTCTGAGAGGCTCTGGAACGCCCTGGGGCGACTTGCAGTTGGAGCTCGACCGCGCAAGAAACCTTCCACAAGGAACCCAACCCTGGAGCCCAACCCGCGAAACCCAGGGCACCCTGGAGGCAGGCAGGGTGTTTCTGGACACGGGCTTCCGCTGTATCCTGGCCCTGGGCCCGCCCGACCGTGGCGTGGAGGACACGGAGGAGGTGGGCGGAGGAAGCAGAGAACACAGAACAATCAGGAAGGGGAATAATGATCATGAGGGAGGCACGGCGTGCAGAGTCGACTGCGCTTTTTCTATGAGTCCTCTGGACTCTCAGCCAACGTCGCCAGGGCCATCTCAATGGGCAGGGCACCACTCGGAGAAATGCAGCATCTCAAACCGATCCGTGTGTAGGTCGCCTGGCCTACTTGGAAAGCTATTGCAGGGTGGAGAAATATGCGAACGGGGGGCACCGTAAAAATCAGAGCCCTGATGGCAACTCGGGGCTGCAAGTGAAGGGGGCATGATAATGAACACCAGATGCGACGCAAGCTAACTTGAAAAGTAACCTGGCGCATTCCATATAATACGATCTCACCAAAAATCCGACGCACTAGCACGCCATAGAAAATCTCCAAACCAAACGATGGAGGCCAACCAAACACCCCGCATGCCGCAAGCAATTCTGCACAATAGTATGCGGCAGTGCACGTGCAACCCGCTTGCCACGCGGGCCAGAGGCGTGCTAGGCTTGCGGTTCAACTATTCAGCGCTATGCCATCTTCGTCTTACCATTTTCATCACAGGGCTCTCCCAAACGGCGCCGACACGCCCCAAGGAACGCCAAAATGGCCTCGCGAGTGCCCAAACATTGAGCAAGTACCGACCGTCCCGGCATTCCTACAGGCCTACCACGAAATTGTCTGAGAACCCCATATGTTCCAATAACACAAACAATGTTCTTATAACATAAACCAGATGCGTTAAAACAAAACAGCCTCAGCCAGAAATGTTCTAATAACAGTTCTTATAGACCCCAAAAAGGTTCTTAGAACATTGTTCGATGGGCCTATAGGTGAGCCAGGACGCTTCGCCACAGCTTGAACAAAAAACAACTCCAGTCTGGCCCCAAGACATGATCACGACCGGCCGAAGTATTTGGCCACATGCGTGTCGATGCCGTACCCCCGAATACTGACGGACTGACGGGTTTGCCTGCAAGTCTGCCCCCGGGAGGCCCGCGGTGACTCCCGCTCTGAGGGCTCAGTACGCCGTACCGCAGAAGAGCCGTTGAAGGCCACATGCATGCCAAGGCCATCCAATCATAGTGCCAAGTACCGTGAGGAAGGCCAACGAAGGAGCGAACTGGCATTCTCGGCAGGCGGCACCAGTCGGCGGGTGTCTGGCAGGGGACCCGCTTGAGGGCCTGCAGTTAGGTCGGGCATGTCCTCCTACAGGCGGATTTTGGCGGAAAACTTAGAAAGACCCCCAAAATTACAAAAACAATGTCAAACATTGTCGAAAAAGCGTCCCCAGACTAGTTTTCCAAAACTATTTTTGAATGTTCCTCCTGTAGAGGGACAGGCCCGACTTAAGCCTACAGCCGGACCGAGGACAGAGCACCCCAAACCATAAAAACGCCACCGAGGGTACCATTCCCCAAGATGCACAAAAACAGACGACAAGCACGAAGAGCCCTCGGGCGCCCTCCCCGAACCGACCTCGATAGTATACTTCGATCCGGTCGTGCGACAGCGTGGCGTCCAAGGGTGCATAGCAACAGCTCTTTCGGCAAACAATTCGTCGCCTGCGCAGAGCTTCTTGATAGCACTAAGCTCGGCGCAGACGCGGGTAAGAGCGAGTAGCTGGTCCAAGCTCGAACTCCGCATTTTTCACCTGGGCCAGCTACTCGCTTGTATCCGCGTCTGCTGGGGTTATGTGCCACACGCCAAAGGACACTGCCGCAACATCGACGCGGGCAGAGATGGATGCTTCATGAACGTAGCCTTAGGTCGGGCGCGTCCCCCTACAGGCGGATTCGGACGGAAAACAAAAGATACCCCAAACATGTTCCAACATAGTCACAAATAGTCCAAACATCGTTTCCAGACTATTTTGTTTGACTGTAGTTGGATATTCCTCCTGTAGAGGGACATGCCCGACTTAAACGTAGCCATCACGCTGGACCGAGATCTTCGATCTGGGGCCCAGGCGATGGTGTCAACCGCCTGTTGCCGCACCTGGCGCTCATGCACTCCTCCACGACGATGACGCCCTCGGCCTGCCTGCGGAAGACCTTCCGGTGCGCCCGATTGTAGTCTTTGAGCTCGTCCTCGCCGAACGCAGCAGCGCCTCCCGCATTCTGCGCGCTCCGCCACGGCGCCTGGGGCAGAGGCCGCCATGCCCGGAGCTCAAGCGTCGGGATTTTTCACGGCGTGGACCCTCCGGAGGTCTGGACCAATCTTCCCCGCGGCAAGCCTCTCACCCCGAGTGTGGTTCCCCAACTAGGCTTGCCCGAGGGGCTTGGCTCGATGTTGGTGTCTCTACTAATGTTACGTTGCCCGTTGCGCGGAGGTTCCCTGGGTCCCCTGGGTTCCCTGGGCGCCTCTTGCCACGCAATGCCAAGCAATGCCAAGACATGCTGCCAAGCAGTGCGCCCCTGCCGTAGGAATATATTTTTCACCTCCTCGGGGCCGCGCCGGGCTCATTTCTGGGTGGACGTACGGCCCCGTCGCGAGAGCTCTTCGCGCCGAGACGCGGTCTGCGATGCCCCGGCGGGCCTCCGCCGCGCGCCTTCGGCCGTGGCCCAGCGCGGACGCCGACGCGGGGAGCGCGCCCTGGCCGCGAGGCCGCCCCGCGGCGGGTGGCCCCGCCGCTTCGGGCTCCGCGCCGCGCCCGCGCCACGCGCGGCCGCGGCGGCCGCCGGCCCCGCGCGCCGCCGGCCGCCTCCGCGAGCAGCGCGCGCACGCCCGCGGCCGCGGCCTGCAGCCGCGCCGCCGCGCCGCGGCAGCGTGCGCGCGCGCCGGCGGGGAGCGGCGGCAGCCAGCGGGAGGCCGCGCGGGCGGCGCGCCCCAGGAGCAGCCGCGCGGGCCGCAGGTGCGGGCGGGCGAGCTCGGAGGAGCGCCGCAGCGCCGCCGCGAGGCGGAGGGACCAGGCCGCTCCGCGCTGGACCTCGAGGTGGACGAAGACCCCCGCCGTGGCCAGGAAGGCCCCGAAGGTCACCGCGGAGATCACGGAGCTGGCGTCCTGCTCCGCGAGCGCCCTCGCCGAGCCGGCGTCCGCCGCGGCCCGCTCCGCCGCCGGCGCCCCGCTCTGCGAGAGGCTGGAGCCCCAGGGCGCGGGCCCCTGGGGCGTGTACTGCGAGATGCCGGCCACGGCGTCCTGCAGGCCCACGGGGACCTGCAGGGTGCCCCGCTCCACGAGGAGGAAGCCCGACACGCACAGGGACAGCAGCGTGATCGCCCACGGTGCTGCGGCGGCGACTCTGGCGCCCGCGCTGGGCTTCGCGACGGGCACCGGGTCCCAGCCAGCAGCTACCCGGAACGCCCGCAGGGTGTGCAGCGTCTCCCCGTGGAGCGTGCTGGAGAAGTTGCGCGCCCCCGCAATCCAGGTCGAGCTCGCCGCCGAGCCTAGAACAAACACAGCTGCACATACAAGAACGCTCAGAGATCCGCGCGGAGTTCTTGGATCGGCGCGGGGCCGGCCACCTCCTGGACCCGGACCCCCGGCGTCGTGGTTCGTCCACAGCGTCGACCCCCCGAGTTCGGGGCCCCTTCCCCGGGACCTGTTTTCATCCTGAGTGGGTTTATGACGGTCCGACGGTCCGGCGAGGGCCCCCGGAGGCCGAAACTTGGGAAAGACATCCCGCCGTGCTGTTTTCCACAGCGCGAGGGGGGGCTGGGGCGAGCGCGCCAGGGGCCGCGTCGGAGGCGCCGCCAGCGCCGACCCAGGACATCCGCGCGAGCCTCGGGAAGTGTATGGTCCTGCCGTACGCAACTGCCCGGGTATGCAACACGCAGCACGTAGCGCACTGGCACGGAACTCAACACGCAGACTGAAAACGTAGAAATGGCGTGATACGTTCGCCACGACGTGGGCCACGACGAACAAGCGTGCTCCGCTTCAACAGGGGCGTCTGAGGGCAGCTAATTCGGTTCCTGCCGTTTGCCGTTTTTGGAGGCCTCCTGGATGGGGGCGGAGGATCAAGCCGCATCGGCGATGCTTTGGCGATGCCCCCCGCGACGCCGACGATGCATCGGCGACGCCAGCGCGGAGAAACTCGGGCTCCACATCGGATCCGCATCGCCGATGCACAGGCGATGCGCCGAATTCCTTCGGCCCCGCCTGCTCCGACCCCCTCTGGGAGGCCAGGAGGTTTTCAGGAGGAAAAAAACACACAGACACAATTCATCCTCGATTTCCTAGAACATGCGGGAACATATGGGAAGTGGGGGAAGACAAACGCCCCGAAAATATGGAAAACTATGGGGAATCTGTTTATTCGTGTGTGTATTTATAAAGGGGCCCCAGGACACACAAATAAATACACACAAATAAAAAGATTCCCCATATTTTCCCATATTTTCTGGGTTTTTGTCTTCCCCCCCACTTCCCATATTTTCCCATATTTTCTGGGAAATCGACGATTAATTGTGTCTGTGTGTTTTTTCCTCTCCTGAATCTATTTGTGCGTCCTTGGGCCCCCTTGAGGTTTCTCCTCCCCCGAGGAGCCCGCGGCGAGCGCCCGCCGCGCCGAGGCGGCGGCAGACCGCAGGCCCGGCACGGCCGCCTCGAGCTCCCGCAGCGCGCGGGCGGCCGCGGCGGCGGCGCCCCGCGGCGCGCTGCCGGGCGCCTCCGCTCCGCCTCGCGGGGCGAGGTCCAGGCTGGAAGGGGCGGCGCGCAGCGGAGGGGGGTTAGGGTCAGAAAGCCGGATTGCAAAAAAACTCGAATGATTGCAACGAAGGATTGCAAAAAAACCGAAGGATTGCAAAAAAAAACGAAGGTTTTTTTTTTTGCAATCCTTTTTGCAATCCTTCGTTCAGGGTGAATGCGGGATGACGATGAATAAAAAAAATGGGAGAGAACGATTAAAACAAAAACATAGTTTCCTGCCATTTCTGCACAGTTCTCTGACTGGAGGAGAACGATCAAAAATACTTTTCCAGCCCGCGGCCGGTTTCTTCGAATCGTCATCCCGGGCGCCCAGGGTTCGCGAGGGACTGACTTCCCCCCCCAAGCGGCGGAAGCCTGGACGACTTTCTAGGTCAGGGGGGGGGGGAGGTGGGGGGGAGGGAGAACGGAGGACACCAGTCCCTAGCGAACCTGGGCGTTCCAAGGTTGGGGAACCCTCCTCCCTAACCTTAGGTCTCTAAGGTCGGGGCGTTGACCTAAGGAACCCTAAATAAGGAACGAGGCCCTTTTTTTCCATGAGTTAAACTCCGATTTCCGATCGAAAACATGAGGGAAACCTGAGGCAAGCTGTGAAACACTGAAAGGAACGCGGAGCCCCTCCCCCACCAAAAGGGTTCCTTCTTCAGGGCCCCGACTGTAGGGGGAGGGGGGGGACTTCTTAGAGGGAGGCTGCTTCTTGGAAGGCGCTGGCCTCACACCTACAGACCAGGCCAGCGTCTTCTAAGAGGCAGGGGTGCTTCTGAGAAGCCTATCCCCCTCCCCCTCCCCCCCTCTGCGCGTGGCCGAGTCAACTGACCACAACGTCGAGCCAAGCAACCGAGGGATCCATCCCCTAACCCTGGCGAACAAACATCACGACGGGAGGTGTTGCGCTAGTTTCGGCCTCCAAAGGGCCCTTCCTGGGCCCCGGGGCCGAAAAGAAACGGCCTGGGGCTAGAAACTGGTCCCAGGGAAGGGGTCCAGACCTCTGGGGGTCGACGCTGTGCAAAAATCACGACGTCGGGGGTCGCAAATCACAAGGAGGGGGCCCATTTCCCAGACAGCTGGCGCCCCAGTTTTTTCCCGATCCGTTTGGTTGACGGTCCCAGGGCCCGTCGAGGCCCCCGAGAGGCCGCACGCTGCGCACACATCGCGACGTCGGGGGCCTGGGGGCCCGGGGTGTCTTTTTCTCCCCGCTCCGCCGTCGCCCGGGAGGGGCTTGGTAGTCGCTAGGAGGGGTCGCTCGAAGGGGCCTCTCTTCTTCCTGAAGTTTGGGCGCGGCCATCGCCCGGGAGGAGCTTTGGGTCATCTTCTCCACCTTCCCCGCCATCGCCCAGAAGGAACGGTTCCTCTCGGGGTCCTCCAGGCAGCCCCGGGCCACCAGAAAACTGTTCGGGACGAACATGTGGCGCGTGGGTCCAGGACCCGTTGCCGTCAGGACTCGACTGTCCCATATCAATCACCAATGCCCAGGGTGGGCCAAGTCTTCTCCTCCTCCCTCCCTCCCAACCAACCTCCCTCCCTCCTCCTCAACCTCCTCCTCCTCCTCCTCCTCCTCCTCCTCCTCCTCCTCCTCCTCCCCCTCCCCTTCCCCCAACACATGCAGCACGCTGTTGAAACGCAGCACGCAGCACGCAATGCCTCGACGGGCCCTGGGACCGTCAAGCAAACGGATCGGGAAAACACTGGAGCGCCAGCTGTCTGGGAAACGGGCCCCCCTCCTCGTGCTTTGCGACCCGCCCCCCCTCCCCAGACCCCCGACGTCGTGACTTTTGCGCAGCGCCGACCCCCAGAGGAGGAGGAGAGGAGGAGGAGGAGGAGGAGGAGGGAGGAGGAGGAGGAGGAGGAGGAGGAGGAGGAGGAGGAGGGGAGGAGGAAGGAGGAGGAGGAGGAGGAGGAGGAGGAGGAGGAGGAGGAGGAGGAGGCCTGGACCCCTTCCCCGGGACCAGCTGCTCCTCCCGAGCCGCTCTTCGACGTGCCGGGGCCCGGCGGGGGCTCCCTTGCAGGCCTGATAGGATCCTCCCCCCCCCCCGATGCGCTTCTATTCACGACGCGCGGGGGGTCTGCGCTCCGTGCGTGCCGAGTTGTAGACGCTGGGGGATCGCCGCCTCGCCCCCCTCGTCGTCGTCCTCCTCCTCCTCCTCCTCCTCCTCCTCTGACGCCTCCTCCTTGTCGTCGTCGTCCTCCTCCTCCTCGTCCTCCTCGTCCTCGTCCTCCTCGTCCTCGTCCTCCTCGTCCTCGTCCTCTTGGCGCGACTTTCTGTTCCCGGCGCGAGGTCGTGCGGGGGGGGGGTGCGGCCCTCGGGGCCCGCGCTTGCTTGACGCCGAGGGTGCGGTGGTCCGCTGGCAGAGGCCTCCAGGGGGGGGGTCGGAGCTGACGAGCAGATCGCGGAGCAACCCCAGACATGATTAAAGGGAAACTAGGACACACAAATAAATACACACAAATAAAAGTAGTCCCCATATTTTCCCATATTTTCTGGGTTTCTGTCTTCCCCCCCACTTCCCCACTTCCCATATTTTCCCATATTTTCCTTGGAATCGAGGATTCATTGTGTCTGTGTCTTTTTTTTCCCTCCTGAATGATCGCGTCGTTAAACAGAACATCAGGGCGGGAGGTGCTTTGCTATGTTCGGCCCCGGGGGGGCCCTCGCCGGGCCTCGGGGCCCCCGAACAACGATTCGGAGCGAGACGCCGGTCCTGGGGAAAGGGTCGGGACTTCTAGGGACGCCGTCCTGAAAAAATCAGGACGTCGCACGTCTGGGACCGCAACTTAAAGAGCTCATCTTGTCGCAGATCTGGGAAATCGGGCTCAAATCCCGCAATCGTTTTCACGAAGACCTCCCAGGACTTGCCTCCTACTTACATGCTTTCGGGGCCGCGCTACGCTCGAGGCCTCCCAGATGGGGTCCGAGCAAATTGGGTCGGGGGATCGCGCGGCGTCGCGGATGCGCTGCCGATGCATCGGAAATGCGTCGGCGATGCACCGGCGACGTCGGCGATGCGTTGGCGCCGTCGGCGTGGCGAACATCGGGCTCACCATCGAGCCGCGTCGCGGATGCTTCGGTGATGCGGCGCGAGCCTCCGCCCCTATCTATTGCAGGGGGGGTGGACAGAGGACAAGCAAGCAGGAAGGCGAGAGAGGAGGAGGAGGAGAAGGAGGAGGAGGAGGAGGAGGAGGAGGAGGAGGA